ACTTGAAATTTTATAAAAAAATCGAGCATTACTATATTCGGAAAAAAGTCCCATGACCCGTGTCAGGGGAGTGTACATTGTGATAGTGATCGTCAAAAGTTATCACTTGAATCACCAATGCTAATAAGTTAAACACCTATGCTTTATTTTAATTCTTCATAAGCATAATTGCTTAATTATATACAAAATTGTCAAATTTTTATAAAACAAATTTATTGCATTAAAACGCATAATTGATAATTTATTGCCGCATAAAATCATTGTCCCTGGGCCGAAGATAGTTAGGAATCACATGATCTGACACTGGTTCTAAACGAATATTGGAAACGGTAACGGTTACGTAATGGTGAAAGAGAAAGAAAATTTCCATTTAGGTTAGCGTTAGACAAAAAATTGTGGCTGTGCTTGTTTTTCTTTGTATTCCAAATACATGTAGTTGAAACCTAACCCTAACGCTAACTTAAATTTTAATATTTCGTAGCTTGCGGTCTGTTATAATACGAATTCTCACGTATATGCACGGGTTAGAGTGAATATGTTCTTACGATTGTTTTATAGTAATAATTTATTAGAAAAATGCCAAGACAACGAAAGACAAAAGGTAATCGCCTTATGTTTAGATTCTCAAACAATTTGATCTTATCAAGATTCCAGTTCAACACATGAATATGCTTTTTTTGGACTTAATTTCCCACTCGTTATTTCTCACTGTCTTACTTTTTTCCCACGCTCAACTCTTTTTCCCACTCTTATTTTCGAGTAAAGATCAACATCACTATCACAATAAATTATTTGCATAGAAATCACTATAAATCTTAACATTTTTTGCTCGCAATCATTGATTGATTATAAAATAATAGGTTCTCTCTAATATAAATACGATTGTGCCCACCGCAATTCTTATATCAACACATTTCAAACTTAAAATTAACAATAAAAACTATATAAACAAAGAAACCTTGTGCAATCTTTTTTTTATTTCACCATGACCCAATATAAATTATTTATGTTGACTCTCTTTACCTTTTTTATGATATTCAATTTGACAACCGCTGAAAAACACCATAAACACAAAGATCCACTCAGCTTTCTTACTTCATCATCCAATACTGACGAATCTAGTTTGAAAGACTTGCCTCAAATCTGGGAAGTCTTTGAAAAAGTCTTCGAGAAAATCTATAATAACAAAAAAAATCCCTTTGACACAAAATATCTTCAAAGAGGTGAAAGTCATACCGTTGATATCGCTGTCTTACCTTCGAAACGCGAATATACAATCACTTGCGAACGTCTTAAAGATCGCAGCTATGGTCAGACTTATGAGGTAACTTGAAACGTCTTTGTACTCTGCTAAATTAAAATAGTAACATTGAATTCAAATTCCATTTTCATTTAATCATAGATTACCGTTGAACCACACGACAAAGATGAGGACGAACGAGTCTATACACTAGTGTTTCCGTTCCGCGGAGAATTCGATGCCGATGAAGGATCCAATGACGATTCCAGCAAACTCAATTCACCATCCTTTGTCGAAAAATTTGGCGGAAAGCATTACGCCAAACATCATTCAGAGAATCGAAAGGAAAGTATCGCGGAAATTTTCGATCACATCTTTCATGACAACCATAAACTTGTTTCTGATGACTTTGAAGTTGAATCACGTCGTCGTAGGGAGTATGAGATCGCTATTCTCCCGAGCTACGAGAAATGGAGATTGGTTGTCAAACGTAAGGGAAAGACTCAATATGGTCCCTTATATAAATTGACTTCCTCTTCCGAGGAAGTTCTCGAGAAACATGAAATTACTTTTATTGTTCCTTATGATGATGATGAGTATCGCCGTCACGAATAGTGAATGTAACATTATAGAATAATATATATATATATATGGTGTATGTAATATTCATATTTTACTAAAGCAGAATTTTTGTAATTTAATTCTTTGTCTACTCTCAGTGTTATTACTATTGATATGCTATGCAGTCTTTGAAAGAATTATACGAAGGGGATTGTGGTGAGCTAAATTGGCCTTTTTAATCAGCTTTTAGTCAAAAAGTAGATACATGTTGTAATACCGATACATAAACTCATATTGATACATGTAGATGTATAACGACACCATGTACATGTATTTTGTTTGTTTTACCATCTTTTTATAAAGCGAACTCAAAGATGGAATAAAATACCCATCGTTGTGATGAATGTGACTCGTTGTCAAGAAGATAAATACTGCGACGAGTGTTTAGTTCACAATACTCGTGATGTACTAAATGTCAAACGAATTTATAACGACGACGAGCTGTCTAGCGGAGATAAAGATATCGACAATCTAATTAATAAATTTATAAAACAACCTGGGGGATGGACCAGTGGATTACGAATGGGATCATGATATACATCTTTTAGTAGACATCTACAGTATAAAGGAATACGGCCTATGATACCAAATACTATGCATGAATTTATCTTTGAAAATTGTTGGAATCCTATACCTACTGCTAAGGAACTTTGAGAATTTATTTACCCTATACGCTAGAATAATGCAAATTGGGAATTGAATTCTTTACATTTTCAATATTACAGTTCCTAGCATATGCGACTACCGAATATGATATAGACATCGATTCCAAATCAACAAACCTCAGTTTACATGAAGGTAAATTTATGATTATTTAATTTTACTTACAGTGTCAGTTCACGAGATTTGATATCAAAAATAAGTTAACCATACAAACAATGTTGCGAAATTTCTAGTGGACTAATCTTTATTTATGAAAAGACATTTTATGATTTTGGAATCCTAAATAATTAATATATGAATTTATGCACAATTCAATTATAAAAACCCGAGCTTTAAAGCACATTTTATTCATTCTTTCCTAACTACTCTATAATTTTGGATAAAGATAAATTTTTTATTAGATAAAATAAAAACATAGTATACGAAGTGAATCGATAGGTTTTTGACTATTCCTTTCAACATATGATTGCTAATAAACAAATATCATTAAATAAATTTTTTTCTTTTATTTTCGTCTCTCGACAAAATCTTCAATGTAAAATTCATTTTTTAGGAATATTCCATCTGAATAAAATTGATTATCGTTATATTGTGTTTACTAATTTTAACTGATATTTTTGAGAATTTACCATTACATGTTAACTTTATATAAATTTTATATGGTTAGAATCAGCAGGATATATTATCGTTATATTTATTAGATTTTTTCCATTAAAGAGTTATAGATCAAAATTACTTATGCATATATTTTACATATTCATTTATTATTTCAGATCTATCAGAACATGACTGTGAAACATTTTGACCCTGAATTCTGTATTTTATTACATGTCAAATATGAATTTAGGATAACTTAATATTTTATGATTTCTCTTATTGTTTTTTGTCTTTTCATAGATCAACAATTTCTTCACATTCAAAATATGTAAATTATGATCTTTAGGCGTTACTCAAAAAAAAATATATTTCTGAAAGTAGAATCAAGATGAATCTAAATAATTTGAATAACTGATTGCTAAAATGGGTATAAGCACTATATTTTGAGTTAAATTTCGCAAAGAATTCATCAGTGTTTCTTTTACAGATTATTCCAAATTTATAAATAAAATATAAAAATTTTTATTTTTAAAAGTAGAAAACTAAGCGCATCCAATAAAAAAACATAATAAAATTGGATGCATTGGAATGCTACAATCAATGTTTAAAGTTTGTTGATTTTTCCAATTGCTGGTTTTGCCGGAAACTTTGTCAGATTGGTGCACACCCCTCAAAATGCATAACTTTGGGAACAGTCTGATCATATGTATTTAGAAAGTTGATACTATTTTTACCATAATTTCAAAATTTTCAATAATTTCAGAAATTATGACGGAATTAGCACGCAAATTTTGCATTATCGTTATCTATATTAGTGCATTAAGAGTCACACTTCCATTTGTGTCGATTTCTGTTAAAATAACTGTACATGTACATTCAATTGATTTTATTTAAAAATAAAAATATATTTATATAATTGAAATCATATTTTATGGATGAACATCTGATCAATTAAGCAAAAAAAATATTAAAAAACATTATATGCTAAAATATTAATACTGTATTTAATCGGAGAAAATTGTCTAGGAATGGCATCTACAGCAAACTAGACCAAACTACGTATCAGTATGCCTGAATAGGATGTACGATTTTATCATGATCTCGATACGAATTGAAATATTGATAGAAAGAACTTTCGAATAAATAATCCGAAACACATGAAGAACAAAACTAAAAAAAGAAGCATTTTATTCATATAAATTCTTGTATCCTATTCTAAAGAAATTTCATTCATAAGGAATTATAAAATAAACAGCTTTTCGCTATTATATTAAAATTTAAGTTTTTAAGTTAAAAAAGAAAAGCGATGAAACAGTCAAGTATTAATTGTAAATTATGCATATCCAGCACATATTTCAGCGCATATTTCAGCACAATCACATAATTACAGCATATTTCAGGACAATCTATTGTGAAAAATTAAAGCATAATTTTCAGCATACAGTATATTACAACTATTTTATTTTATTATATTATTTATTATGTTGTTTGTCTTATTTTCATCGAAATAATAAGAATCATATATATCATTATAGTAGTTAAAGCTAATGAAAATGTATAATATCGATTTTGATTAGGACATTCAATTCAGAAAAGGCATACGCATTATTGGAAACTGTTTGATTGAATAACGATATTGTTTGTATAAAATATAATCCAACTTTTTCCTTCTCAACAAATATATTACCGAAACCCAAAATTCTTCTAAATTCCAATTCCCACGTTCTAAATAATCCTGAAATTCTCCGCCAAACCATCTATCTTCCATAATTTCTTTCTCGCATCTCACATAATGAATTATATCGGTAGATATATTTATGTACATGTAAGGTTACTGTAGTAACATTAAATACGTAATTCCTTAATTTTTTCTTTAACGTTAAGTTTTCGTTAAGAGAGTATATCGCTGCCATTTTTGAACAGTTAACACTTCACGATCATCATTAACACAAATAGTAGTGCATGTATAATATTTCATTTGTCACAGCCAGTAAAAAAGTTTGATAAATCTTTATAGGTATCATAAGTATCTTTTTTTTTGCTTTATTCTTCTGACAGAGGATTGGAAAAATATTTTTCACGGTATAATGGGAAGAATATTCTTCTTTAAGAAGAGTATAAATTTGGGATCTTTTTTTGATGGAGATATGTGCCATAATAAATTTTAAATATATGGGATAAAAGAATGAATTCATGGATGTATTTATTTATAGGAGATGTGTTTGTTTTGTTGTGTATTTTTATCCATATTTTGAGGAGGAAAACGATCAAAAGAAATGCATCATCAGCATAATAAAAGCCCAAGTGGTGTTACATTTATTCTTTAAATTGAATTTCATCTGTGGTGTCCATCGCTATGTTACTAAAAATTCCCCGATTTGTTTTTTCATCCTAGTGATGTATTACTTTTGAGCGCCACTATACATGTACATGTATCGTTGATGATAAAAAAAATGGTCCGAAAAAACGAAAGGAAAAATATGCATAAATTAAATTGGTCTCCTTTATTAATTATTTTTCATATTTTTAGTATTTTTTTAGAGCCTGTGATGTCTCGTTCTTCCTCTTCTCATCTTGTACGATTAGAATATGATGGTGAAGTGAAGAATACTATGCCTAAACATGTTATTTCTTTATCGATATTTGGAGGTAACGAAAAAAATGATTTCTTTAAAATTAAATTCTTTTCATGATTAATAAATTCCATCAAACAGGT